TACCTTTCAGACATGGAGTACCTTTATCTAAGGAGTTGTCTCCTAAGACGACTGAGCAGACAGAGGACATGAAGACAGTTCCTTATGCTTCGGCAGTAGGAAGTCTCATGTATGCAATGTTGTGCACTAGGCCTGATATTAGCTACGCCGTTGGCATGGTAGCGAGATATCAGAGTAATCCAAGAAGGGAACATTGGGTTGCGGTGAAACATACACTCAAGTACCTGCGAAGGACTAAGGAGTACATGTTAGTTTACCGAGCAGACAGTTTGTTTCCACTGGGTTACAGCGATTCTGATTTTCAGTCAGATAGGGACGAGAGTAAGTCAACCTCAGGTTATGTGTTTACCTTGGGAGGTGGAGCCATTTCATGGAGGAGTGCTAAGCAAATGTGCGTAGCAGACTCCACTATGGAAGCCGAGTACATCGCAGCCTCTGAGGCAGCGAAAGAGGCAGTTTGGCTCAGAAACTTCTTGGTGGACTTAGAAGTGATTCCGAGTTTACCACGTGTTATTACCGTGTACTGTGATAACAGTGGTGCAGTAGCAAACTCAAGGGAACCACGAGCCCACAGATCAAGCAAACACATAGAGCGCAAATACCACCTTATCAGAGATATTGTGGCAAGAGGAGAAGTCGAAATCACCAAGATTGCATCAGAAGACAACCTAGCTGATCCTTTTACGAAGAGTTTGCCGGAGAAGGTCTTCGGCAAACACGTAGAGGGAATGGGAGTCAAATGTATGGTGATAGGATCGACATAGTTCTTTTAGGATACGGATTGATAGGACTATACTAGTAAAGCGGCAGCTTTAAGTATAAGTGGCTGATTGTTGGTGTTATATATGTAAGCTTTGCTTTAGTGGATAATACACTTGTTATTTATTGATGAATGAGAATTATGTTTGGTTAAATAAGTTCCACGTTCTGTTGTTTTGCATGTAGATTAGTGGGTCGTCATTGGGTGTACCGAAGATCACTATATAAGTTACTTGTGAAACAAAAATCATTGGTTCACAACCTAGATGGAATTGAACAACCCATCGGAACGGTTGTAGTGTCAACCGTACGGTTTGTCTTGACCGATTAGTTGCACTAGTACATTTATGTATTGAACAGGATCCAAGAGGGATGTTCGTTTTATACTGATCGTCGTAAACGAACTAGGCCTCAGTTAATTATTGCGTGCTCTTAACCCGTAAGATATTAAATAGGCATGTGCACATAATTGTTGTTGCTTTGATTCTTTGGGTGAGATCCAAGCTGGGTCAACATACTTAATGAATTGGGAAATGACATTATGTGTTCGATGTGCTATTAGGATATTTACGGTCACCATGTGCGTTAGTATGATGATGTCCCCGAAGTGAGTTCATGAAGGAATATTATACTAAACCCTGCAGGTTGATTTATTCTGGCATAATATAAATGCTATGAGCGAGCGCTAGCTTCGGTAATATAATATATTAATTAATTCTTGATTATTAGTGATCGAATTAATTAATGGACATTATATCTTTAACATGGGGAGGTAAATCGGACAATTATAATAAGGAGTCTCAAATGTAATTTGGGATAGGTGAGGGGAGTGCAATAATATTATTGTGGTGGACTTTAATATTATTAATATATT